AAAAAAAAAAAAAAAAAAAAAAAAAAAAAAAAAAAAAAAAAAAAAAAAAAAAAAAAAAAAAGTCCTACACCTTACTAGAATGGCTACTTACACAAAGACATAAATGAGAGTAACAGAATTAAAGGGGTAGACAACAGCCAGCCACATCAACATTGTTTTTTTCCCCTCAATGGAATAAAGTGACACAAATGGGTACATAAAATTCATCTGGAATCTGATGAGGAAATATCCAAAACAACTAATCACATGGCTGGGTCTGGTGGCTCACGTCTGTAATCTCAGCACTTTGGGGGGCCAAGGCAGGTGGATCAATTGAGGCCAGGAGTTTCAGACCAGCTTGGCCAACATGCTGCGACCCTGTCTTTACTAAAAAACACAAAAATAAGCCGGGCATGGTGGCGCATGCCTGTAATCCCAGCTATTCAGGAGGCTGAGGTGGGAGGACCACTTGAACCCAGGAGGTAGAGGTTGCAGTGAGCTATGATCACGCCACTATACTCCAGCTTGGGTGGCAGAGCAAGACTGTCTCAAAAAAACAAACAGAAAAACCAACTAACCACATATGAGACTTCATAATCATATGCCAAGTAGTTCAATCTTAAACAAGGAAACTGAGTAATATATGCAAAAGAATGAAGTTGGACCCTTATCTAATGCCATATACAAAAATGAACTCAAAATGAATCAAAGACCTAAATGTAAGAACTAAAACTCTAAAATTCTTAAAGAAAGGTAAATTTTCAGGGTTGTTTCCATGAATGCCCACCTTAAAAGTAAGGTGTCTTAGCTCTTACAATACCGCTGAAGGCTTAAGCTATTAAACTCAAAGGCTTATGAGGGAAAACAAAAGCTCCAGCAGTGACTGAACTTGGTTCTGAAGAACATGACAAAGTATGGATGAGTGTGTCCCTTACAATGTCCCTGGCAGAGGACAGCAGACACTAGGTAATTCAGGAAGACCTTAGCCACTAATTATAAAGGCACCGTCAACGTTAAGTCCAGGCTGGACTCAGTCTAGGTGGGTGCTAGATGAAAAGGTGTGTATGGAAACTCCTCCAGTTTCAACCACTCAGAAGGCAGGAAAGGGAGGAAAAATTCACCTTAACGAACCATTAACACAAAACCCATGTGATTTATTTTAAGCAGAAAGACCACCGGCCTTGCTGAGAAACTATAGACGTTAAGGCAGTTATCTTCATACGGCACTAAAAAAAATCCTGGCTCACAGCACATTTGAAAGGTTAGACTGGAGATGAAAGATAAACAGACTAGGCACAGTGGTTCACCTGAGGTCAGAAGTTCAAGACCAACCTGGCCAATAAAACAAAACTCCATCTCTACTAGAAATACAAAAATTTAGCCAGGCACAACGGTGGGCACCTGTAATCCCAGCTACTCGGGAGGCTGGGGCAGGACAATCACTTGAACCCGGGAGGTGGAGGTTGCAGTGAGCTGAGGCTGCAACACTGCACTCCAGCCTGGGTGACTGAGTGAGACTGTCTCAACAACAAATTAAATAAATAAACATGCCAAGCACGGTGGCTCACATCTGTAATCCCGGCACTTTGGGAGGACAAGGCAGGTGGATCACTTGAGGTCAGGAGTTCAAGACCAGCCTGGCCAACATGGTGAAACCCCATCTCCACTAAAAATATTTTAAAAATTATCTGGGCATGGTAGCAGGCACCTGAAACTCAGTTACTTCGGAGGCTAAGGCAGAACAATCACTTGAACCCGGGAGGTAGAGGTTGCAGTGAGCTGAGACTGCACCACTGCACACCAGCCTGGCAACAGAGCCAGACCCTGTCTCAAAAATAAAAATAAACCAAAGCTGCTTCAAGCAAGTATGCAAAGGTGGCAAGAAATGACAGATGACTTTTCAAGAGGAGATGTACACAAAAGCGTTAGGACATTTGAACAGACGTACAGACTCATGGGCCTCATGTGTGAAAGCACTTCAGCTATAACACAGGATGTAAGATAAAGTGTTTATAGGATGTGCTTTGATTAGGAAGTGATATAACTTTTTCTATTTATTTTAGCCATTCTTCTAAATATATGCATGGAAACTGATAGGTACGTACGCATATTACATATATTTGGAAGGAGAAATATATTAAGGAGAAAGTCTCCAATTTGGACAATTCACTTCCATATTATACTTTGTTTTTCAATTATAATGTATTATTAGGGCACCATTTACAATATAAGTATTTGGGTCTTCATTATTTAGGTATTTGTAGATATGAAAGAACTAGCATATAGATCAGGTAAAAAGCTACATGTCTTTCATATGAGATATTTCTCTACACTCCACGTGTAGATAAATACAATGTTGCCATGCACTGTGATACATTGAATCACACATAATGTATCCATACCTGTGTCTCTCTCTCTCTCTACATAATGCAATCTCTACATTATCTATCCATCAGTAAATGTAAACTCCTATTTATAGCTAGGGGAAAGGTATACCAAAAATAAAAAAGTAGCTCCAGTATCTTAAAATGCCAAACGGTTGGCCGGGTATGGTGCTCAGGCCTGTAATCCCAGCACTTTGGGAGGTCAAGGCAGATGGATCACTTGAGGTCATGAGTTCAAAACCAGCCCAGCCAACATGGTGAAACCCCATCTCTACTAAAGAATACAAAATCTGGCTAGGTGTGGTGGTGCACGCCCATAATCCCAGCTACTCAGGAGGCTGAGGCAGGAGAATTGCTTGAACCTGGGAGTTGGAGGCTGCAGCGAGGAGAGATGGTGCTGCCACTGCACTCCAGCACCCTGGGCAACAGGGCAAGACTCCAGTAAAAAAAAGAAAAGTCAAATGGTCAAAGCCTACTTAGGAAAATAAGCAAGAAAAATATATCCATATTTGTAGTGGCGGACCATGAAAGCATAAGTTTATTATTTATAAATCCATTTACCAGAAGCAAAATTGAATGCAAAAGAAAGCTAACAGATGAAATCCTCCGTCTGCTTACATTTCAATTTTAAACGCTGTCAAATGGGTTTTTACCTGCATGGTTACTTCTCTGGTAATTCTAAAAACCCAAAGGAATTCTGATGTTCTTACCCAAGACTGTATGGAAGAAGACACGCTTATCTGTTTTGCAGGAGTGTATGCTGGTAAAAATTTCTTTGGAAAGCAATTTGACAAGGTGTTGAAAGATTAAAATGCATATTGTTTTGATCCAGAAATTCTACCACTAGAATGTACACCACAGATAAACACATATGAAATTACAAATAGGTTTTTCAATGCATCATGGTATACAATAAAAAGGCTGGGAACAATCTACATGTTCACCAGTGAGGCCATGGTTAAATAAATGATAGCAAGTCCATGTCATGAGATATTATGTGGCCATAAGGTGAATACTAATATGAAATGATGGGTGTGAAATGGAAAAAGCAAGGATCGTGTATACATATGTTACACCCCCTTTTATAGGAAAAAATATATATACACACATATGTCCTCCTATATATATAAAACGTTTCGAAGGATACACAATAAAGTCTTAACCTTGACTGTCTCAGGGAGGGCACTGGGTAGCTGGAGGACAGGGTGGGAAGGAGGCTCTCTGCATTATATCTTTTTACACCTTTTCAATTTTAAGCCATCTGAAGGCATTATTTTATTTTACTTTTTGAGGCAGGGTCTCGCTCTGTCACCCAGACTGGGGTGCAGTGGTGCCATCTCAGCTCACTGTGACCTTTGCCTCCCATGCTCAGGCGATCCTCCCACCTCAGCCTCCAAACTAAGAAGCTGGGACCACAGGCGGGTGCCACTAGGCCCAGCTAATGCTCTTTTTTTTGAGATAGAGTTTCATTCTTGTTGCCCAGGTTCAAGTGCAGTGGTGCAGTCTTCGCTCACTGCAATCTCTGCCTCTCCAGTTCAAGCGATTCTCCTGCCTCAGCCTCCCTAGCAGCTGGAATTACTGGTGCATGCCACCACATCTGGCTGATTTTTATATTTTTAGTAGACAGAGCTTCCCCATGTTGGGCAGTCTGGTCTCAAACTCCTGACTGCAGGTGATCCACCCAGCTCGGCCTCCCAAAGTGCTGGGATTACAGGCATGAGCCACTGTGTCCAGCTGCATTATTTATTTTAAAAATAATTTAATTTTTTTTTAGGTTTATTATAGAACATTTAAATGCATTTGGCTTACCATCATCTGATCACAAAATTTATCATTGAAGGAATTTGGGAAGAGCCGTGTGACCGAAGTCAGACGATTCACAACATTCAGCGTCAAGCTCCGGTAATCCCCCAGCATCATCAGCAAAGGTCGCATATGTGTGTGAATTTGGTCGACTTCTATGGTAGCACCTTCTAAAAACTATTAACAATGAAAAGTTTAAAGAAAAATAGACAACTGAGAATACGTCATAATAGAACAGAGCTCATATTCAACTTTAGTTGCACGTTTCTGTTCTCCCTTAGGAAAATGGAATTATTAATCATATACTATTTCATAAATTTATGATGAAATGAGGAAGACTTTACTGTTAATATTTTTAAAAATTCAGTATGACTATCAAACAGGTGTAGACTTATTATAGTCTAGTGTGTAATAGCCACATGCCTAAAGTCTTTCAGGCATACATTGCTTAGCAATAGAAAGAACTCTTAATGCAGAGCGCGCGCGCGCGCACACACACACACACACACACACACACACACTCTCTCTCTCTCTCTCTCTCTCTCTCTCTCTCTCTCTCTCTCACACACTCACTCTCGCTCTCACCTTTCTCATACAGGCTTCTCCAGCCTCCTGGAGCTCACTATTGGTGGAATTCAGGGCTTTGAAGAGTGCAGCAATGATTTTCTCCCTGGACTGAGGAAGGTAATTGCAGGCAGCAAGTGCATCTTCAGGGAGAAAAATCAAGACAATTTCATTATTAACCGGAAAGATATCCAAATAATTTTCTTCTCTTTATTTATTATTTGGTAGTGAAGGTGTCTTGCTATGTTGCCCAGATTGATCTCCAACTCCTGGCCTCAAAGGATCCTCCTGCCCTGGCCTCCCCAAGTGCTAGAATGACAGGTGCGAGCCAACTGCCCCTGGCTGAATTTTCTTTTCTAAAGGCTCCTACCAACCAACAAAAAATATGAACCACGAACTCTTTTTCCTAGTATTTGGCCTTGAGAAAGACAAAAGAATGCATGGTCTTCCATCCACATGTTAAGTAAAATCTAAGAGTGAAGTTCAGCCTGCCAGAAAAGCCATGATAAATCTTATCCCTCCAGATTAAAAAAATGGCTTTGCGGGGAAGAGAGACCCTACTGACACCCCTATCCCAGGATCCCCTCATAGGTTTAGGCCCCAGGGTAGTCCCATCTGAACAAGGTTGATGGCATGGTCTCCTGACCTCTGGTGACAGGCAATGCAAAGGACTGACACACACAGCCCAGCCTTTCTTCACTACCCAGTTTTGAGGGTGAAAGGCTTTACGACTTTCAAAATGCAAATATTCTTAAGGAAGGAGACATACCTCAATACTCTATGTGAGGTGAGAATTAATATTCGTTCTAGCAAAAGTAGCACCCAGAGTGGCTAATGGGAAAGAGGCACAGGAGAGGTCCCCAAAGAAGGGACCCTAAGAGGAGAAGTGACAAGCTGCCAGTCACCCCGGGTCCCCTTGCTCGCCTTGGCTTGCCCTGTCTGGAACACTCCACCCCCATCCTCTAGCTCAGGTTTTATGGTCTGCCTCTTAGCTCTCCACCTCAAACTCAAGGAAGATTCTGGAAATACTTTATTAAGAGCATAAAAATCAACAAAGCAAGAGAGAGTCAACTAAAAAAGTTTGTATTAGTACAAAAGTTTGTATTCACTTCCTCCAAAAGAGAAAATGACTGTTTCTATGTCAGGCAGTACAGATCTAGTCTATTTTCCTAAACTTTGTATCACTCCTGCACTTGACAATGATAACTGAGGTTTCCCAGTGACAGCCTAGAGACTGCAGGATTCACAAATGCCTGAGTCATGAGAAGCCTCTAAGGCTGTCGTGTTCCTTACTATAAATACGCTGATTCTGATAGAAATGACACCATATGAATGATACAACAATCTTTTAAACCAGAACGTCTGATTCAACAACAAAGTTTACTGTAAAGCACAAAATTATTTCAATCCTAACAATACATATAATTTTATGGCATCTCATTATACAATTTGATAAACATACAAAAATAATTTTATCTCATCTTAAAAAGACTACAAAAAGTCGTAAAACTTAGACAACAAAAAAAAGGCCACTGTTTTTTTTCTTTTCTATAGAGCTCCCCTGTGGTCAGTCTCCTTTCACTTTTATACCCTGTTGATTTTCATTAACTTACTTAATGCTGCAATTCGTAAAGGTACGAGCGATGGAAGGCTTTTATAGCAGGGCAGCTTTGTTAAAGCTGAATCTTCAGCCTCACACAAATTCAACAGCTGCAAAAGAGAAAACAATTTCATTTAGCCCATTCTTCCTGTGAAGACATAATAACCTTGCAAATAACAGAACACAGCAATCTTCCACACACACTTCAGCACAACTAACAACTGACAAACTAAGTTCAAAACCTCAAGAATTTAAGTATCAAAATATGAATGAGCCTCTTTACTCTAAAGCAAAACTCAGTTTACTTTATTAGTGAAAAAAATTCTTAAGACACTTTCTCACCCACTCTGATACCATAAAGTTTTTTCCTCTAAACAGAGGGTCACTTTATCTAACTACAAATCCCATGATGGTGGGGCCATCTCTTCCTGATTCAGATCAGCCTCCCCAGTGCCTCGGGCCAAAGTTCAAAAAACAGATGGGTTTGAATTCAAATATTTAAGTGAACACAGTTTTCTTCTTTTCAGGTACAGAAAAGCGTAAAGCAGGAAGCTGAACATCACTGGGAATTCCACTGGCTTCCCTTCCAGACATTTTACCACACAAATAGATATTTCTATATCTAATATCTAAATAACAGATATGATGCTCTATCACTATTTCCTCCTTCTCTTTAATTACATCCTGGAAAACTAGTATAGGCTTTTGCTGTTTTTTTTTTTTTTTTTT